TTGCTACTCTCTCTCTCTCTCTCTCTCTCACTCTCTCTCCTTCTTCTTCCTCCTACGATGATAATAGCAATTTCTTTATTTGGTCGTATTTTAAAACCTCTTCGAGCTGCTACACTCAAGCGGCAGTGTGTAGCCTTTATTAAGTTTCCCGGCCTTGACACTGCTTGCTATTCATGGTTTCTCCAAGTAGTAAATAACATTTTCTCCGCTTTTTTGGTATTTTTCCTTCTTTTTTATGCATTTTTCAGTGTCTCTGTTGAAAGCCAAAGTCGATTTTGATCATGACATAAGATGACTTGATTATATAATATTTTGTTGCTACTTTTAATTTGTAAAGTACTTTTACTGTAATGTAAGGTTATAGCATTGATTATATGCGGAGAATAAGTTTCCAGATGACATTCTCTAGAACCGTGGGTAATACTAGAATCTGACAGTATTTTTATAAATAATGTATGAGCAAAGCTATTAACAAAATGAAAGAGTGCTCGATTCCAAATGTAAGCCAGTGAAACTCAAAGTCAATATTTTGATACATTCTCGGGAGAGCTTTCGTGCTGCCTGCAAATAAGAGAGGGGGGTGGGCAAGTAAGGCCAGAGAGCGAGTATAAGGTCGTAAAGCAGAGATGACTGTTTTTTCATCGTTATCTCTGAGCGGCGGCGCGGCTTCGTCCTGGTCTCTAATTATACGTGGTTCGCGTAAGGTGCCGTTGAGCGCGGCGCACGTTAGCTTGCAAGTCTCTCTCTCTCTCTCTCTCTCGTGAGAGCACGACTCTCTCGTGAAAACTCGGCCCCCTGTATCTCGACGGCGACTCTTTAGCCCTCATCGTCGTCCCTCGCGTGTGCGTCACGGGGAGCATGAGCAGGGAAAGAGGTTACACGATTGTGCCTCATGATAAGAGAAACGAGGTGGCGGCTTTATCTTTTGCCTTGGCACATACAACCCCCTCCCACGAGAACGAGAGAGTATGCTCCATTTTGAATCCGGCTTACCTTTTATCACGAAGTCTCGAGTCTGTTGTTTTACTAGTGACTGAGTAATTTACGGAATAACATTTTTTCCACTAATATACTCATCTTTTTGACCACTATTACTTTATTCATCATTGAGATGTTTCGGAAATATAACCAACTTCCCTTATCAAGCTAAAAAATAGTGAAGCAGAATTTAACAACTTATTAATAACTTAGCGATGTGACATTAGAGTACATATTTGAATTGTTTACCATAAAATATCTAAACATTACAATACAAATATTAAATAGATCATATAGCCAGAGTCAAAAAATTCTTGTGTCTACTTTTGTGTGTCTACATTTTTTTTCTGTGTATAAAGTGTATACTTTCTCAAAATTGATGTCATGCTTATTACTTATTGCTTGTTCAGATAATGCAGAAGAGCTATTTTTACTATTGACCGTGTACTTGTGCTAATTAATTCTTATTCTTAATTGCCTGTTGGCTTGATTAACTATGATATATCACAATGTGCACAATTAATCTTATAAACAATGACACTCGTTGTTATGTTATCAACAAGTAAAATTTGAAAATTTATTAGTCGGTTTATATGTAACCCCCTAGTTGTTGTGTGATAAAATTGATTGTAATTTATGAGAAAGATTTTTAATATATGTGGGGCGTAAAGGCGCAAATGAGTGTAAAGTGTTTTCGAGTGAGTGTATCTCCATTTTGTCAGCATATGTAATGAGCTTGAGCTGGACTTTGGTAAAAGCCATAAAGTAGAGGAAAGCCATCGAAGTGAATGTTGAGCGCTGAGAGTAAAAAGCGAGGCTCTTAGCGACAAGAGGAAAAGATGTCAGTTTTTAGAGAGCCTCAGCATCGTGCACATGCATATTTTTTGATATGTAAATTCTTGAAATTTGTAATAGAACTTCTATTTTAAACGTAACCCTTCTATGTATTTCTCATCGCCTACACCAACCATAACACCTACCGCATATATGAAAATATAATATTTTCTTATCTTTATTAACTTCTTGCGATATGTTAGTATGGTTTGGCTATTAAAAAAAGCAATGTTACACTGGCTCTTGACAATAAAAATATTGGCTCTCACAAGGATTTATCAAAGAAACAATTTTATCGAAAGGTGTCTCTCCCATGAATAATACTTTTTTCATTTATTGACATATCTAATGACACAGATGTTTAAAATTTTAATTAACTTTTCAAATTTAAAAATGAAATGAGTATATTTTTGCTTTTTGCGTATCGCACATTCGAAATTATTTTAAAAATATTTAAAGTGACTTACACTTTTTTTCTTGAAAGCTTTCACGTATTTTGAATTCAGTTTCTTGCTAAATTACTTGGTATAGTGAACGAAGGGTTTGTCCAATTTTCATAATGAAACTGCATATTCAATCCAGTGGCTACCTGGCTGCACCGGTTAATTCCGAATTCTGTGAAAATTGAATGAATACGGAATGCTGACTGCTTTGAAAGATATTATTTGTACAAAACTGAGAAGTCAAGTCAAGTCTTACTTAAAAATCGGAGTACATAATCAGATAGGTCGATTAAAGTCTGAATTAGTAAATATGACAAAATCAGTATTCTGTAATATCGTATTAGAAATATCCTAGATTTTTATATAATTATAATGAATAGTATTTTGTGAAATTCGTTTTTCGGCATAATAGAATAAATCGAGAAAACATTGAAATGTATCCATTATAAAGTAAGTAGCGTTATAACATTGATAAGTGGAACAAGACCATGTATCTACGCTGAATATCTTAAATAAGGGCATAAAAATAACTAATATATGCGTTAAATCCAGAAAAAATGAATAATCTTATGTCAAATAAACATGGTTAGGTAACTTACATTTAAGATCTAAAATGTCAACCTACATAAAATTGTGAATAAAGCTGTATACAACTATTTAAGAGAATCTCAAAGATTGAAAATTTCAGCTGAATATGATATTTTAAAAATAATTGTTAACTACATATATTCATTATACTTTGAAACTACTGATCTCGACTTGTTCCGTTCTGTTAAGAAGCTGCCGAATTATTTTCGGAAAAATATTCTTACATTTGTAAAATATTAATTTAATGTATTTGTGGAAAAAAATAAATAAAAATTCTGTCACGTCACCGACTGATCTTAGTGCTGAGCACGGTAACTTATATTGGCAGGAGGCAGGTTTCTCGTCTTAATTTGGCGCATTCCACGGCAGCGACCATACGCGTGCACGTGCGAGGAGCTTTCGCTCCGAGTGTCACACAGCAGCAGAATGAGCGCGACTCGTATTAAAATGCGGCGGCATGATTCTAATAGACGGCATTACCGAGACTGGCGTCGTCGGTCGCCCGCTGGCGGCTGCTGCAAACACGTCGTAATGTATTCATATCGGTCGCACACCCTTTTCCCGGCGTCGCGGTGCCCTGCTATTTGAATTTTAATATGCTGCTCGCCGCGACTGACATTTTTGCTCTCTTTGCTGCCGACGACTTTCTCGGATTGTCTCTTCCCTTGCCATTTTTTTTCTTCCATTTTTAATGCGCAGCGTTTTCCTGAGGCGGAAGTGCTAACTCCTTGTTCCTGTGCTCTCTTACCTTCCTGGAAATCTCGAGAGCGCTTTTTACACAGCTTTTTTTGCTTTGAAAGTCGGCAGTTACACTCATTGTTGATATACCAGTCAAGAAACTCTTCTTTTTTTAGGTCATATTTGAATATTTTATCACACTACTCGATTGCAAGATTGTTCATGAGTAAACTGCATATCGGTCGCGAAAAAAATTCTTTAATTTAGAAGGATTCTATCTGAAACCGAACGACTACAAAAATGTTCTTAAAATAACAAGATCCTAGAACTTATTCTGAGACCGGCTTGTACTTATTTTAGGTATTTTATTTAACATGATTTTTTGCTCAGTGATATAAAATATTTGACTCAGTAGAACAGCTCAATTACGTTTGTAGCTGTCCTACAATTTATAAAAAATTCTTTAAAATTTCTCATAATATTTTATAGTTTAGCAATTAATTATTTTTGAACTGTTAAGCTATACACACAAGAGGGAAATAATTCCGTTTTTTATCAAGTTGTATATTAGCACAGCCTCTATTGTTAAGTAAAAAGTTACTAAACTTAAATAAAGAGAATTTAAATATTAAAACATCTAAATACTTACTTTATAAACTGCAACTTCAAACAAAAATTGTTTTCTAGTTGTAAGAGTAATATTTCTTAAATTCAAAATGAATTATTATTACTTTGAAAACATTATTTTCATTTTAGATTAAACATTTTTTAAATTACAAAAATATGAGCATTGTTGATTTAAAAATAAGAAAAACACAAAAATATTTTACTTTATTCGTATGTTCGTATTTCCAAAAATGTAATGCATGTAATGGGTTTATTTATTATTCCAGGTACCACGCTGATCTTCTCGATTATATCATCTGCCGAGATAATGCCAAATATGATTGTTCAATATTAAAATTAAACCAGTTTATACATTTTTCGTATGGATGCATTCCGTTTATGACACAATTTCTGGCGTGGCGATAAAATTTGGCGCTTCGCAAGGTATTTAGCATTGTAATGAAGACTGAAATCCTATTACATGCAATGAGAGCTAGCCCGATCGCGAAACAAGGATACTGTTCACAATGCTTCATTTGATTTTCATTCTCTATGCATTGTTGGCAATCTAATTACGCGTAATCGCATCATGGCGGTACATACTGCTGTGATTGAATGAATCGCATCGCGCGAGTAATACAATGAACTTCACGATTTTTTTTACTAACCATTGTGCAACGCCCCATTCCACGTCCATTTCATCTTTATAAAAATAAGTAAGTCGTTCTAGTGGAATATATTGACGTTATAATTTTGCTGTGAGAGCGCAAGCTCCCAAAAAGAAAATCGTTCATGGAAAACGTTAGGTTCAGGCGACGGTAGCACGTAATCGTGACTTTCACGACTGGCACAGCGATATTTGCATGGAAATAGTTTGCACTTGCTCCTCGACGACGACGACGAGGACGACGAGGACGATGATGATGACGCGGACGCGAGAACAGAAAGAAGAGGGCTGCGAATTACAGAAAAGCAGCAACAGCAACAAGGAGAATTAAAAAAAAAGGTGTCGTCAAAGGTTTGGGTATCTTTCTGCCGTTTGTAATAAGCTATAAGAAAAAAATACGGCCAACGAGCCCGAAATGAACTCCGTTACTGTTCGCGTAGAAGTATATATGTGTGGAAAGCGCTGCACAGCAGCAGCGAGATAGCTTTCGAGGAGGATCGGCCATGGCCTCGTGGGGTCCACGTACCCATCCTGACGATCCCGTGGGAGCGAGCTCGTTATCCGCATCTTCTCTCTCCGTTACCTCGTTCGATTTTTATTGAAATCTTAACCCTTTCACCCCCTACCTTCTTTCTTGTTGTCTACCATGCACGATCCTTGCGATCCTCTTCCCGTTTTGTTTTCCAATGAGATATTCTTGGGCAAGAGCGGAAAACAAGATTCAAGCTGATGCCAGATCGAAAGCATAAAGCGATATATAGAGTTATACGGCAGATGCTGAAAAAGTAACAATGTGCGTTAAGAATAGTCTCTGTATACTTGTTTTCTAATCGAGTTATTTTGGCATTTGATATTGAAAAACTTCATACTTGATTGAACAATTGAATCGCAATTTAAAGTAAAAAATATGGATTTTGCTTAATAGTAACATTGAAACTCGTCGCTGACAAAGATGAAAATAACTCGATCAAGCGTTTTACACACATCCTCACAAGTTTTCTCATTCTCTCTCTATCAAAGACATCCGTGACATCAAGTCACTCTCAAAAACTAATCTACACAACTTACTTCCCATGTTTAAAAAAACGACAAGTCGCCGACATCCAGGATTATGATTGGTTGATATATGAAAATTCGAATTTTATTATTTTTGAATCCCTTGTAATATGCATGAAAATGTAAAAGATTCAAATTTCAATAGTAAATAATCTATGAAAAATTGATGTGTAAGTATAATAATCCCTATAAGACTAATTAAGAATAGAAATGCCAGTGAGTAAGTCGTTTCTAAAAAGTTATGTTTTGGAATTATACTGATTATTTTATCGCTATAAATCTATAATAAATCTATAATAAGTGAAATTGAAATATATATCAGTATATTGTTATTTAAGTTGGAAGAGAGAAGAGAGAGAGAGAGAGAGAGAGAGAGAGAGAGAGAGAAAAGTACAATATGCAGGAGAAAATAATTTCTAATTCTGTACATTTTGTCGTAAGAGATGTACGTGCAGCAAAAACCTGATATTGAATCCGATAAACTCAAAGCATCTAATATTCTGAGAGTAAGCTAATATTTAGCTACAAATATCTAATAAAAGTTAGTATATTTTATCAATCGAATACGATCACTGAAACTTTTGGATAATTTTTCAATTTACTTAGAAATGATTAAATGTTCATTGATGATACTAATATGAGTATTGATTGTGAAAATTTTTTCTAAATTATATAATTTATTATGCGGCTGCAGCATTAGGATTTCGTATAGGTTCGTATCGTTGGCATACAGAAGATTTAATTAATACAATGATCATGACAAAAACAGCAAAATTAAAAAAGCCAGTGTGCTAAGCAAACGGTGGTTTGAATAAATATGCCAATCATCGCAACCTTTAGAGTCTCTCTTATCGTTCATTGAGTTAGCATATGACACGACATCGCAGTCCGTGCTTTCATCCGGAAAACAATCGAGTGCGATCAGCCGCAGAGCGGCGGCTTGAACGGTCCATCCCGCAGCTATTATGCGAGAGAAATCTCATTCAGAAAACTGTCTCCGTCTCTCTCACTCTGCTTTGGTAGTCTCTGTCGAGTGCTGATAAGGGACAAGCATCAGAGTCGGCATTGTTCATTCCCTCACGCTCACTCTTCTATATATACGTGCGAGTAGGGAGGATATCGACGCGCGATTTCAAATTGGTCGAGGGAGCAGACGAGCGAGTAGAGGTGTCGGGCCTTTTATTTAATTACGTCTCCCTTACAGTCGTTCGAGCACGAGAGTTTGCAGTAGATCAGCCGTCTGGTTCGGGTGTTTCTAACGAACCTTTGCCCGTCCGACGTTACGCACGGAGTTTGAATCTGCATAGGCAAGCCGCGTCAGTAGCAGCATATTCTTTTCGCAATGTTCCGAGAAGCCGTTCAACTGGATCTTTTGCTCTGCCTTCCTCGTAAATCCCCCCGATCACTTTTATCTGGCTTTCACTCCCTGACGTTTTCCGTGCTCCTGTGCACTAGCTGGCAATATCTTTAATCGCATAGCTCCATAAGTGCCGCTATGTCTGAAAGGCTTCTTTTAAGTGTTGATCGTTACACCATTGCTACACAATTCTTCTTTTCCTTGTCTATCCGGTTGTAGTACTTGCAACTGTCTCTAACATACTTTCTGCTTTAACTTTCGTCATTTCAATGATATGTCGTCACTATATGGAGATGGCAAGCAAGGAGCTTTAGGTCTACGAATCATCTCTAATTTATTACGTTATTTCGACGAAAACATCGATTAAAATGATGAACTGAGCACTTTAAAAGCACATAAACCACAACGGAACGAGTTTCGTTCGTTTATGTGCAAAGATATAAAAGCAGTAGGTATCAAATAAAATGGAAAATCAAAGTAACTCGCATGAAGAATTTAATCCTCGCGCTTTCAATCCAGGTTTTCTCCCGTTTGGCGGCAATTACGTGCGAGCACGGCGCCAAAAGAACAAAGAGATGCTCGCCCAAGTCAGCCGCATAACAACCGCGACGAGTATAGTTATAGGATGTACCTACGAGTTGTCGGCAAAAAAACTTTGTTCGCCGGATGAAAAGCACTTATTCCCGCGCGCGCGCGCGGCATTTTGTTGAAACAAAAGTCACAGGTATTTCTGCGGTCGTCCTATGGGAGAGAGAGAGGCGATGATCTTTTTCTTTCTCTTCCTCTCAGCCTTCCTTCATCATTTATACTCTGTCGCGAGAGCGAAAGAAAACTGGTTCGCACGCACGCACGCACACGACTTTGTCCGCGCGCGCACTGTAAACAGATAAATCTTACAGAACCTCGTCGTTTTCGAGCTAATAATTCTCTAACGCAAACAACCTTTGCAGTTGTTTTCAAGTTTTTTTGTTTGATTTTCTAGTTTCTTAAAAGCGCGATGAGACTACGTTTCCTCTGCAGCAATACCTAACTGATAGAATTGAATTAACTTATTATAAAAAAAAAGTTTCGCTCAGTGTGCGATAAGAATGAGGCAAGTTGTATGCAAAGGTCCCCTCCTTTTTTGACCGCATAAAAATGTTCTCAGCCGCAAAAGCGTATTATACAAAGTAGAGTAAAACTCCTAAGAGCTGCGCGCGTACTCCGCCGCGAAGTTATCGGTAGCCAGGAGAGTAAGGCCGTTAGCATAACAATAATAATTACAGCAGCCCGGAGCTTTCTCTCTCTCTCTCTCTCTCTCTCTCTCTCTCTCTCTCTTCTCGCCTAAAAGTACGTTGTTTCCGTCGTCCCGTAGTGAAATTAATGGCAAATTCACGACAGGAGAGTTCGCATAACGGACCTTTCCTCGTGCGCTGCTGAGAAAAAGAAAAAGAGGTCGCGGTACGAGCGAAAGGTGCCCACCCGCGCAAAGCATACCGAATGATACGTTTTAAGACTCTTGATATCACGTGTAGTTACGTGCCACTGCGCGACACGGCGCTCGTAAGATATTTAGCGCCGAGTTAGACTCGCGACTCTCTCGCGCTTTGCAGTTTTACACGCTATTTCAAACGGAGAATGCGGGCGTACTGTGTAAAACTCCTATGGTTATTTATGTGCTAACCAGGAATTGAGAGCTAGAAAAAGCTTTGAATAATCGATCTATGGTGCGCGATTTTGAAATCGTTACACGTCGAATGGAGTTTAATAAAGTCGCCTGTGCACTGTTATACAATCGCGAAATATCACGACCAATAAAGCAAGTGAGCCATTTTACAAGGACAGGTTTGCCGCCCATCGATAAATCGAACTGGGATGAAAAAAATTGCAATTAAAGGAGCATCACGGCGTGAAAGTACAGAAATAAGTAAGTTGAGTTTCAGTGTTCGTTCTCTGTTCGCTGCCCGTACCGTCTTCGCAATTCCATTCGACTCTTGAGCCTTTTTTTCCTGTCCGTTGACCCTTTATAAGATCCACTCTCATTTCGCTCGGCTATCACGACGAGCATTCCCGTATCGTATTGTGTGCTCTGCTCTCGTGCCTTTTTTTTTCTTGAATCTCCAGTTTTTTACGTAATCTTCGCGATTTTTCTGTAGTGCCATCGTTATCTGCTCACTCGTTCGGCTTTATCCTCTATTACGTGTTGCAGCCTTTGACAACTTTCCAAAATGGTTTTGTCTCATAAGATTCATTCTTTTTACACTACAACTGCAACATTGAGAAGATAAGATTGAAGCTTATTTAACACATTAACCTGTTCATTGCAAGAATGTCGCGTCTTTCCTTCAGCATTATTTGATAAACCGTATGATTTGCAAGAATGTCATAAGTCGGTTTTCTATTCATTTCCCCCTCTCAATTTTTTAATGAATGTTGTGACATACAACAATAATCCCGGATTTTGAAATATTCGTTTGATCTGGGTGCTCATATATTTTTTCCCCAGAGGCGGCGCCCGTGCGTATATATCTATATGTAGTCGGCGCGCAGTGGAACGAGTTTCACGTTCGTGGCCCCCGAGGCTACAGTCATATAAAATTTTTGCAACCTCTTTACGGGCGCGGTCCAGTGTCGTACTGCTGGTGGTGGGATTTGCACGATCGGGTAATTTTTACGACGGCACGGGTGTATATGTATTTGCACTCGCTGGAGAAATATTGAGAGAAAAGAAAAATGAGAGCCGTACCAAGCGGAGTATCAATTGGATCACCCGGTGTATCTTTCCAAGCAATAAATCGTGCAAATTCGGCCGTAAACTTATAGCACAGAAGAGGCTAACAAGTTAATACATGAAACTCCATTGTAGGGAATAATAAGTACCGTATCGCGTTGTTACCTTAATGTCATATTGGTTGCACTGGTTATAAACACAAAATGACGCATGAAATGACGTCCGTAACGCCTTGGGTTTTAAAAATGAAACGAG